TTTTCGGCATCTTTCGTTCCAGTGAACTCGCAAACTCCAGCAGAGTCCATGGTCCAATACTTGTCCCATCTTTCTAGTTCTTCGTCGAAATTAGCAAAAGAATTTGCAAAGATCGCCATATCCGCATCAATGCTATCGGTCGGATCTCTTTGCTGTATCGTTTCCATTTGTCGTCCTGTCAGTAGGTATCCCAGTCTTGAAGGAACAAGTTGTAATCCGGATGGTAGGGTGTGACGGGAATAAGGCACGTCGAGAAAATTCCATAACTGATCGCACCCTAAGAGAATTTGTGGCTTCGAAGTGTGGTCGAAGTCCTTCTTGGATAAGGGAATTCTGTGCCGCGCAATGTAATCCAAATCCGCGGTGGCCAGCCGTGTAGCCTTTCCCTTAACGTTTAGAACTGGTATAGTGTAAAGGCGCAATTCATGCTTCACACCTTCATGGTCCCACAGGTCTAACCACGTTTCTCCACATGTGGTTTTCCTGGGCGTTTCTGTACCAAAGGTGTACATTTCGAAGCTTTTTTGCCCTTCACATATGAGACCAAGTTCTTCAGCAAGTCCTCGACTAATGAAGGACTGGTCAGCGCCTGTGTCCAATAAGACTTCCACGTCTTTCCAGAGATTCCGACTCGAGTCCTTCACTCGAGCAACTCCGGTTAGCAAAAGAACACTCTTTCCCTCAATTCGAGTTTCCTTACTGATACTGTCAGGACTGTTCCCCTTCTTTATAGTGCAAGGAACAGTGTTTGAACTGCCTTTTTCTTCGTGAAGCGTAGCGGTTTTGCAAGCACAGGAAGCTGTTTCGAGCAAGTGTGCTTGTGCTGGTTTTGATTTTCTTTGTGGAGCCCTCCTCGCCCCTTTCGGTGTGTTTTGATGTGCAGTAGGTGGTTCTGGTTGCGCTGACTCGTGCTCTATTTCTTCCTTCAGTGTTTGCGTAGGTTTGTTTCGCAAGGGTGGAAGACGTTGTGGACAAAGCGTATGGTGATGCTTTTTTCCATTGCATTGCTTGCATCCTTCTTTCGTACAAGATTTGACAAAATGTCCTTGTTCAGCGCAATTAAGACATTTATTCAGTCCACGGAAAATAGCGCGTCTATCTTCCAGTGTGGTGCATTTTTTGCAGAGGAGTGATTTGTGGTTATCCCCGCAGAAAATGCACTGTCTAGTACCCATAAGCTCCGGCTTGGATCTATTTCTCTGGAACTTTGTGTGTGTAGCATCCTCAGGTTTGCAGTCGACCATATCATTGATTTTTTCTTCCATTGATATGATTTCGTCGAGATCGGCTAAGGTGTCCTGCATTGACCAAGCCTTTTCACCTAAGGATGGATTCATTCTTTGACGGAGAACTCTCCTCTGAAGATCTACCGAGAATTTCGACAGTATTTTTTGCACGAGGAACGATCCGTCTAGAGGCACACCTTTCTCTCTAAGCTGTGTCACTATTGGGATGAGGAATTCTAGCAGGCGCCGCTGTTCCGGAATCGTTGGTTTTTCTGCCTTCGCATTTTCCAAACGGGACTGTAGACACGCAATAAACTTCGTGTCATCTCCATATTTGGCGCATAAGAGATTCACTGCATGATCATAGTTGTCTTCCGTGACGGGATAGCGGCGCACTGTTTCGCGAGCCTCGCCTTGTAGTGCACATAATAAATAGTTGAACTTCTGCAGTTTCGTCAATGGTTGGTTATGGACGTTTGCTACAAACAAAGTCCAAAAATTTTGGAACTCCCAAATTTTCCCATTAAACGATGGTATGGGAATGGGTGGCAATGTTCCCTGAGGGATCCCCATTGTCACGTGTTGCGTTTGGAAGTTAGGTGGTGATTGCGCGTGTTCGCGAATGCTCATGCGATTGCATTCTAATTCAATTGCCTTCGTATGCGCGAGTTCCATAGCATGGTGCGCTTTTGTCACATAGTCATCTATTTGTTTTTGTTGTTCCTCCGAGATCGGATCAGGCAATGAGTCACACAGCGCCGTGAAAGAATCTAGTGCTTCATGAACCAATTTTGCGCCCGAGTGGAGTTGTAATGCGACGGTTTGCGCTTGTTTTGATGCGACAGTGTCATAGAAGAAGTCGGGCTTTGCTCTTAGTATTCTTTCATTGTCCTTTAAAATGCGCTCTATGTTGTTACAATATCGCGTTAAAAGAGCTTTCTGTGATCTTAAGGATGTAGAGCTAGTCATCTTTACGAATCCTTATGAAAGACAAGAAGATTGAAAAACTTTCGAAACCACAGTCTTCAAGCGCCGTCGATGTAGTTCAAAAGACGATACTTCTTAGCGCCGTCGATTCTTGTTAGTTCCTGCGC